AATTTAGTATCTAATGATGTAATGTGTTTGACAAGATGCATTACGTTGTCAAATTTCAACTGTTTAATTTGTAGGTATTCATTCGCATAGGCTAGAGTGAGTTGGCCGCAAAGTTTACGGTTCTGACCTACTTTGTAAAGTTTGATTGGTTCCATTGGCCCAGAATGGGATGCACTGAGCTGTGGTTGCTAATTACGTGAAAATTTGATGCATCTAGCTTTTTAAATTACTGGAAGAGTTTTTTTTTATATGGTATTCTAACCATAATTTATAGTGTTTCCTTATTATGCTACGATCGCCTTCTTCCAGACATCCATTTGACCTCAGCGAATGCTGTAAAAATTCTGGTTTGGAATGCTGGTTTTTCTTTTTGCAGTCTTTTATCAGATTAACATAAACTTTGAGATTGTCCACTTTGGTATACTTTACTATTTGTTATTCAATCTCAGCAAAATCTTGATCGACTGGCATCATACTGTGACCGGGTATTGGATACAAGATTTATATAGCTTCAAAAATAATATTGGAACAAAGCAGATCCAAAAAGACAAACAAATATCTATTTTTATTCTGGCTGAAGCAGTTGTCGCAACAAAGTTTTAAATAACGTTATTCTGGCTTCTGATTTTGTGTAATATAGTCCTGCAGGCAAGTAATAACCTCGTTTGATCCTTCTGAGCGAAATTTTCTGCATACACGTATATATATATATATATATATATATATATATATATATATATATATATATATACAATATATATATATATATATATATATATATATATATATATATATATATATATTGTTATATATATATATATATATATATATATATATATATATATATATATTGTTATATATATATATATATATATATATATATATATATATATATATATATATATATATATATATATATATATATATATATATATGAGGTGCTTAGAAGCAAAAGGCGTTAAGTCCAAAGACGTCACTTTTGAGAAAAGGGCAAAAAACGGTGGTCGCTTCATATTAAGATATTTTGTTTTGAAAACATGTAAAATATGTTTAGATGTTTGAGTAAATTATTGTGCAGAAGTCTTGAGTTCTCAAAAAATTTCTAAACGGCTCAATTATTATTTTGAAAATGGATTTTTTGTTTTGCTCCCAAAAGTTGAATTTTTTGCATTTTGTATCTCAGTTTATGGAGTATATTTATTTTGCTTTAATTTGAAAGTAATAACAACTAGTTAAGAAGTGAGTAAAAAATACATTGTATGATGATTTTATTACATTCTTAATGAAAATTGAAAAAAATAACATTTTAGACACATAATTCTGGTGCTTCTTCAGTTATGCCACATAAATCTTCTTCCACTTCTGCACCAACTTCACTACGTCCTTCACAAGAAGCAAAAAAATTGACGTAAAACTTTAAGCATGAATTAAATTGCCAATCAGACCCAAAATGCAATTCAAGAAGCCTTTTGACATCAGACAATTTTTTCTTGTTTACTAATGTATTGTCCTTAGTAATTTTTGAAGGATTAATGCTTAAAACATTTTCTTTCCCTTTCATAATGGATTTGAAATTACCAATGGAGTGGTAATAAAACTGTTCTGCTTGGATGAGAATCATGTGCTGGGATTTTGCTGCTCGCTTGAATTGGAACTTTTTTGAAGGCTGAAATTTAAAGTGCCTATGAGAAATAGGTTTAAAATGATCTACTGCCTCTTGCTTCCAATCAAAAATATCTACGTCAATACCTAGTCGTCTTATTGTAGCATACTTTTCAATTATTTTAACATAGCCATCTGGAGTCTTGATAATTTCTTTTTTGTTGAACTCTTTGTCGCAAAGACTGAATAAACGGTCTGGTGGTATAAAAGAATGGCCTCGTACTGGAAATATCAATTGTATCTCTTCAACGTTCTTAGGAGCGAATAGAAGCCATCTGTGTAGCATAGCAATCATAGTTTTATTTTTGTTTTGGCCGCCGCAGCCATCTACAAAAAATTTTATCTTCTCAATTTGTGATGTATCTAAGTTTTGCAGACAATGAAATACACATGACGCTACCTCATTTCAACCTTGTGGATAAGTTCCTTCTGTCCATACGTAGCTAAAGCAATTATTTGGAGACTTTTGCACTGAGAACTACCAACAACAATATAAAAATTGAAGAGGTAAAGTTGACGTCGATAGTAAGTCTCCTGATCTGGAATTTTGGGACTGGGCAAATTTTTCTGGCAATTGAATGAGAGCGTAAGAGTTTTATTTTCTTGTACTTTTAGTAATGCAAAAAAAGCTTTAGCCCTTTTTTGTGAATAGCTTGGGTAGCTTTTAAAGATGCGGTTTGCCGAGGATCGGTTGTTTGCTTTATTTTTTCTGAAAGTTCCAGGCACGTCGAGCATACATCGACCCTAGGTGAACTAAAGCCCAAATTAAACTTATGCACAAAAATCTGGCGAAAGTACGAATTTTTTACTTTCAAGTTCTCGTTGGCTTGAGCGTTGTACATATTTTCTAATTTTTCTATACTCAAATCAGAGGAAAGGTAACTTCGACGAGTATTGCTACGACAATAATGCAATTCTAAACACTTTAAAGAGCTGATGTATTTTATAACAGCTTGTTGTCTCTCATTGAATTTGTTAGAAATGCGGTCACCACCTCTTATTTCCTGAGCAACATTACCATAGATTGCATAATTGTGGAGGATAGTCTGTATTCTAGAGTTACCAATCCCTAGAATAAGTCGAAAAGTCCGTTCACATACTTGAACATCTTCACCTTCACCCAATTTCCTTACGAAAAATCTTCCTGTGAAATTTTTTTCTTTTCTGTTTCCAGCTGATCTTTTTTGGCGACTACTGCGTGGAATTACTACTGTGTGTTTCATAATGAAGCTATCTTGATTACTTTTCTTTTCAGTTGCAAAACAAGCATCTCGAAATGCTGTGACATTCTCGTAGGTCAATTCATTACATTTGTATATCTTTTTTTAGCGTGATTGCAGTCTGGCATTATAATGGGCCCATGTGGTGCCGAATATCTAGAAACAAAAACAGATTTTAGTTTATCATTTTTCAATTTTATTCTAGATTATTACCTATAGTTTAACAGTCATAATGTTTTGTATTTAACACTCAATTGTGGATATAATTTTCTATATTTTTTTGACGGAATAAACGGTAGACAGTCAGTACTAAATACTGTGATTGTAGATTTTTTCTTGTACCAAAATGTGAAATTAAAGTGTTAAAATATACAAGAAGTATTAGTTATAACGTACAAAATGGTTGTTTTTTGTGTAAAATAAACGAACTATAGGGTCAAGTTTTTTAATTACACTTTAAGTGCCTAAGTCGTATCACATATGAGTAGAGAAAAAAATGGCCAAAAGAAAGACAAATTACTTACCTTAATATTTTTGCAACTGCCCTCTTAGTAGAAGTAGGATTACCTTTCCTCTTTATCGCTTTAGATGGAGACACAACTGAAGGGGATTATTCCATTTCCGGGGATAAATTTCAATACAATTATTAATATTAACCGCAAAACACCCCTCAGCACGTGGTCAGATAAAATTTACAAAGAAATCGACTGTACTCTCTATACTAAAATAAAATACTGACTGCTGGCTGAATGATATCTACTTCTGTAAATGTAGCGCCACCTCACGTGGGTCTACAGCATGCTTGTGGTTCGTTGGAATCGTTGCGGTGGACTTTACCTGTTTTGGTCTTTAAGCGGAGGAGACTTTATATGTTTTGCTTCCAAAGAAACTTTTAGTCGATTGAAATGTATTGGAATTAATTCGTTTTGACGGTAAATAAAGTGTTGTACCTATAGAATGGACTCTGGGGAACTAGTTAAGCTCAATATTTTAAGTCGTCCGCAATATTTGTTACAGGAACAGGCAAATTTTTCGGATAATCTAAGCAAATCGATAAGACAAAGGGATCATTAGCCTTTGCTTGTTCCAAAATTTTCTTTTGAATGACTCCAGCTTTTCTTGGGTGCATTGGTCCTCTGGTTGCTTGTGCTTGGAACAGAGTCATTGTCTTCAGAATTATCTTTGCGTTGACTATTCGGTTTATCTTCACTGCATGATGCCGAATAATCCGACCATTCACCATCATCTGAAATAAAATAATAGTTGTTCAAATATGCAAGGTTAGAATATAGTTAATGATGCATAACTACAAAATAAACATTATATCCATCGTGAAAACGATCAGTAGTACAGTAGAACCCCGATAAGTCGGACTCCGATAACCTGGACCGATTTTTATCAGGCAAAACAAACATGTTTTCACTTTGACTGAGTTTTTTACCAAGAAATAAACAATTTAGATGTTTTGTGCATATATATTTCTTGTTTTTGCAATTATAATGTGTATTTGTATATTATTTATATGTATTTTATTAATTTTTACTGTATTTTCCGGCTAATCCGGATTTTCGATACCCCTGATCGGCCGCGTTCCTGGTTAATCCGACTTATCGAAGTTCCACTGTACCTACATTAACAAAAGATATCTATTTCACTTTTCTTACCTGCCATGTTTACTTTTTAATTATAAATACACTTATAATTCACACAGACGTAATAATAATATACACACGGTATGTAACCTTGTAATAATGTGGACTAAGGCACAATTACTTACACTGCATATTTGTCAAGTTGGTGACTTAGGCACATTTTGCATTGAAAACAAGGGAGACTCTTATTAGAGAAAATGTAAAATAAGTGACTTAGGTACAGATTTCTACAACTTTGAAACTACTGTATGAAATCTTATGAAAAACGCCACTAGATGGCGGTATTAACCCAATTTTTTAAAAAAGTGACTTGTGCACTTATTGCATTGACCCCTTCAATTAAATTAATACAGACTTTAAAACGGCGTAATATACATGTAATTAACTTGTAAAACTGTGATTAACAGTTTAATCCTTCTTAATTTATATTTTTATGTAATCTATTAAACGATTTATTTGCTTTTAGACTACGAAACTTAAATTCGGTACGGCAAGCTTACGGCCTAACCGAATCGACTTTAGCCGTGACTTCTGGAAGAAGATTTGACAAAGTAAAACGTGGTTGCAGTGGATCTGTAATTACGTATATGGCTATAGCAATTAAGGATCCTGAATCCGGTAAATCTTTAGGACCTCATCAAGTTGGCGAAGTTTGTATAAAGGGTCCATTGGTAATGAAAGGATATTTCAGAAATCCCGAAGCCACTAGACAGACAGTCACTTCTGATGGGTGGTTGAAATCTGGTGATTTGGGATATTATGATGAGGAGAAATATTTGTTTATTGTAGACAGATTGAAAGAGCTGATAAAATATAAAGGATTTCAGGTAAATTCTTAGCACTGGCCACTAGTGCAATAATTATTAAACACTACTGAATATTTTTACTATCTTTTGGATGTTTTAATTATATAAAGTTATCTCTAAATTAGATTAATAGGAAAAATTATAAAAAATAAAGATACAAATGAAAAAATATTACAAAATTATAGTTAATTTTTCAATTAAAAAATTAATTTTTAATTACGAATTTTATTTAAGAATTGAAACTCTATTATTTAATATTCTTTAATGTTAATGTTATTGTAGTGTAAGTTCGTATCCAATAAAAGAACTTCTAAAAACTGAATACGTGCCTTCTGGTTAAAACTTTAAAAATACTGAGTAATTATAAATAATTTTTATCTTGTTTGTAATAATTGACAGCACATTAGCGTAATTAGACAAGGTGTAACGTAAAGATGGGCAATAAATTAAATAATAAATGTTGGAGCCAAAAGTAGCTTGATTGAACCTAATTTACCTTAGTACAAATATGCAGATAAAAAAATTTTAGCTCTTCTAGGATAAAAAATGAAAATCGATTGATCTCGAGCTATTTGATAATTAGGGCATTTTTTAAATTTTTAATTGAGATGAGCATAGTAAGTAAGTTTTAAATGAAGCATGTCTCACATCTAAAGCATGTGTTATGAAAATCATTTATCTATTAACATATTTAATATAATTGTAGAAAATTATTCACATTTTCTACAATAGTTTATTTATTATTCTAATAATTATTATTATTCCACTAAATTGTCTTCTAAATTAAATTAAAGTCTATACGATCAGCACGACATCCCTTCTTCGTGCTGTTTCGTATCTTCTGCGCCCGTCAGAATTTTACATTAATCTATTCAAATCATCATCATCGTCATCTTTGGCTCGACAATCCTCTGTGGATCTTGGCCTGCTCTAAGACTCGTCGCCATTCTGTTCGGTTTTTGGCAACATGTTGCCATCTTCTGATTTTTAATATTCGTAAGTCGGTTTCTACTCCATCTAACCACCTAATTCGAGGTCGGCCTTTGCTTCTTTTTCCTACAGGTGTTCCTGAGGTTAGCTTTTTAGCAATGGTATTTTCTGGCATTCGTATTATGTGTCCAGCCCATCTAAGTCGCTGTGTTTTAATGAACGTTATGATATCTGGCTCATCAAAGAGCTGATACAATTCAAAATTATATCTTCTGCGCCACTGCCCTTGGTCGTTTACAGCTCCAAATATTTTGCGGAGTATTTTACGCTCAAATATTCCCAAAAGTCTTTCATCTTTCTGCGTTAGTGTCCATATATAATAATTTTAGTTCTTCTTTGAATGTTTCTTGAGTGGAAATGCTTTTGGAGTCCATAGTATGCCCTATTTGTAAGATTTATTCGTCTTTTGATTTCTTCGCTTGTTTTATTGGTAGCAGTCAATAGCGACCCAAGGTATGTGAAGTTGTCAACACGTCCAAAGGTATGACTTCCAAAGACTGTTTCCCGTTCCTCATTTGCTATCGGACCCTTTGTAATCAACATGTACTTGGTTTTGTCTTCTTTGATGACTAGACCGACCTGTTTCGCCGCTGTTTCCAATTCTAGGAGATATTGCTCAACATCTCGCTTGCTACGCCCTATTATGTCAATGTCATCAGCATATGCTAAGACTTGTATCGATCTATTGTAAATAGTACCGCCGTCCCTAATTTGTGTATCTCGGACTGCCTTTTCTAAGGCAATATTAAATAGGAGGCAAGCCAGAGCATCTCCTTGTCTGAGTCCATCCTTTATCTCAAATGATCTAGAACTCTCTCCCTGTATTCTAACAGTGGCTTCTAAGTTAGACATTGTCATTCTCGTTAGTCGGATAAGTTTCTCTGGTATACCAAACTCATGCATTGATTGGTATAGCACTGTTCTCTTGACACTGTCGTATGCTGCCTTAAAGTCGACGAATAGGTGATGGGTTTCAATATTGAATTCTAATGTTTTCTGGAGAATCTGTCTTATTGAATGAATCTGGTCAATTGTTGATTTTTCTGGAGTGAATCCAACTTGATATTTACCAACTATGCCCACTGTATAAACTTGCAACCTTTCGTAGAGAATATTTGCTAGTATTTTGTAAGCAGTTGTTAACAGGGTTATACCTCTATAGTTGTCACACTGGAGCTGGTCACCTTTTTTATGTAACGGGCATATCACGCCTTGAGACCATTCACAAGGCATGGTCTCATTATGCCAAACAAGAAATAAAAGCTTATGCAGTGTCTGTAGTAGGGCATCGCCACCATTCTTGTAGAGATCTACCAATCTATTCAAATCAGCTACCCTTAATATCACTTCGTTTCTGCCTTCTCAAATAGAAGGACGTAAGTCAATTCATTTTTTCAGTTTCTCAAATAGAAACAAGATAGTTCTGTTCTCGCGCTTCTCAAATAGAAGCAGTTTTTGAATAACTTATTTTATTAAATAGTTAATTAAACTAAATTCAGTGTTTGTGCATCAAATATGTAAGTACCTGAAATAATTTTTTCATACAGAAGATAATCTACGGTTTCGTGCCAACTTTTCATGAATGCCGGCCCGAAAAATTACAGGGTTGCCGGATATTCAATAATCTACATATAAACTTTATTGTTCTATATTTTCATATAAACAGTTTTGCGTTTAAGAACATTGTACATAAACATTTATATTTTAATATTATAAAAGGGTGATTTGTTGGCGATTCCGCTTTTTTGTTTATTTTTGTAAATAATGTAATAAAAATATTTCTAGCTTTTATTCTTATTTTAATTATTTCATTTTCTATTTTACTGCTCACTACATAATTACATATCCGCAAGTTTGCGACCTATGGGTCGCTGGTCCTTCGAGGTTTAATTTTTTATCTACCAAATGTAGGAAGGTGAGATCATAATTTTTCAAATACTTAATTACTTTTAATTAATCGAAACAGCTAACTTATCCTTTCCCCTACAATAATTATAACAATATTTAAAATATCAAACGGTCGAAATTTGAAGATTTTTCAGTTTTCTAAACCAGAATTCAAATTTTTACTTTAATCTGTGCCTTCTACAATTTTCAAAGCAGAACAGACGATGACTGAAGAGACATGAGGAATCTCAATTTGCATTTCACAACATATTAATTTATCCAGGTGAGGACCTTTTGTAAACTTCCTTTCTTATTCTCAAACCGAGTAAATGAAGATACAGAAAAGCCAGTTAAGATTTGATTTCAGTATAGTGCCTCCACACATTTCGTCTTTTCAGGATTCTTCAGAGCGACTCTGCAGAAGTCCTAAATGAAAAATTAAATCTTTTTGGTCAAAAAGACTGTCATTCCCTGTCTTTTCTCTGTTTCAAATGTCCTTCGTTTTCTTAAATACTCGTTTGGCGCCATTTTAATAAGTAAAATCAATTATTTTGAAGAATCATTGATTTCCAAAGATTAAATCATTTGCAGCTTCAATGAATATATTTCTCAGTTATTGCGCATTTATAATTTCTACACAATAGATATTTTATTTCATTAAACCCTAAAACGAAAAGTCAATATAGTTCAGGTTTGATCTCTGATTGGCCAAGAAACAGACGCCTTAATACCCCTTCTAATTTACAACACTTCCTGAAAATATGTTCTTCAACTTTATTATTGTAATACGATGGAGCGGATACTGTAAAAATCATACATTTTCCCTGATTACGGTTTTTAAGTATTCGTCAAACGCTTTGTGAAATCTTGAAATAATTTTCGCCATTTAAATAAATTGGAAGAAATACTGGCCCTACTAAGAAATTGTCTGCTATTCTATTCAAACAATCACTTTGAAAATAATTTGATGATGAAAGACTATTTTTCATAAAGGTTGTCTTTAGCCCAGATGTACGCTGATCATCACCATCATCATTATCATGCAGCCTTCATTTATCACTTCCACTGCTGGACATAGGCCTTCTTTAAACTCCTTTATGTTTTGCGATTTTGTGCTCTTTGTTGCCAATTTTTCGTAATACGCCTGATGTAGTCAGCCGAACATGTAGGTAGTTTTCTCTACTACGTTTGTCTGCTATTATATAGATACGAGCTACTCCAATGCATTTGCAGGGTAAAATTAAAGGAAGAAGAGCCCCAGGACAAAGAATAATATCCAGGCTTGCTAACCTGCGAGCATGGTATAGAAGAAAGACCTCAACCGTATAGCAACCAACAAAGTCATCATAGTCAAAATGTTCGCCACCGTTCGGAACGAACAGGCACCCTAAGAAGAAGAAGTTTGTCTGCTCTTGACCTCCAATGTGTAATTTTGCTCGTCCATCGTGAGTTATGTATTCTCGCGACATAGCCTGTCCAATTCTATTTTAGCTCCGCTATGCGTCCCACAACATCTCTGTGCCACTCTCAATTCCAAAGCCGTAGTCTCGGTTGGAGTCATAATTTGCGCCCCATAGGTCACGGCCGGTAATAGGCATTGGTCAAATCCTTTTCTTTTGAGGCTTATTGCTATGTTGGTCTTAAGTGTATCTCGCAGTTTACAAAGGCTGCATAAGCTAAAGTAATTTGTGTTTCGATTTCGCATGTTTGGTTATTTCTGCTGATTCTAATTTCGTGACCCAAATACGTATATTTCTTTACCAGTTCTACCAGTTTGTTTTGAATAGTTAAATGGTTATTGGGGACCATATTTTTTATAAATTTAGTTTTGAACAAGTTCGTTCTGAGGTCCACCTTCAAATATGCAAAGTCCAATTCAATTAACATATCTGTGGCTTCTCAAAAATTATCTGTGATAAAGACAATGTCATCTACAAGACGGAGATGGATAAGTTTTTTGCCGTCTATTGTTATTCTTCTGTGATCCCAATTAACTATCTTAAAGGCATACTTTTATGTTATTATAAATAACTTCGGTGACAATGTATCTTCTTGCCTTATCCCACGTTTTACTTTATTAGTCGAGTTTTATCGTGTATCTTAACATAATGCCATTTTTAACTATAACTGTAACCAAGTTCACT